AGATGATGTGTTTTCTTTCTATTTCCTTTATATCTTAGCACTTTTTAGGAGGTTTTGAACTCAGGGCCTTGCACTTGATAGGCAGGAGTTCTACCACTGAGCCATGCCTTTAGCCCCTCCCCCTTTTTTGTTTTTTTGTTGCCCTGTTATTTTGAGAAAGGACATCACTTTTTCCCCCTGGGCCCATGCATGGATCACAATCCTCTTTATGCTTCCTGCTATACTTGGGATGACAGGCCTGTAACATCAAGCGCTGATTTTGGCTGTTACCAAGATTGAGTCTTGTGAATTTTTTTGCCTAGGCTGGCTTTGAATTGTAATCCATCCACTCTCAGCCTCTGACTGATCTCAAACAATTCTTCCTTTAGTATCTGGGACTATAGAGTTAAGACATTGCACTTAGCTTGCCTTTTATAATAATGCTCTAAATTTAGTGATGATTTGTCTAGGTTATAGATTTCCTCTAATTTATTCTACATGGAATTTGTTGAGTTTTTGAACCTGAAAATGGGTAGGGTAGCCCTTGTCAAAGCTAGAAAATTCTCAGCCATTTTCTGTTCAGATGTTGGGTCTTCCTTTGATTTTTTTTTTCCCCCGCCTCTCTGGAACTCCAGCTTGAATGTACGTGAGACTTTGGAGAGTTCATGTCAACCAGCCTTTCCTCCATTGGTTTTGCCTCTTGGTTTCTCCCTACTGTATTTGTGTACTGTCTTCAGATCCCTATTCCAAATCACTTACTCTTCTCTCCAGCCTCAGTGGATTTCTTAGTTGGGGAATATATTTTGCATCTCTGGGAATATTTTGTACTGTCCAAAATCTACCTGATTGGTTTTGCATACTCTATTCCTTTCCAATATTTTTCAATCCCTCCTTTTATTTGTTTCTTATTGCATAACTAAGGCTGAAACTCAAGCTCTTCCTACCTCAGTCTCCTAAGTATTAAGATTACAGGCAGGTATCACAGTACCCATCTCTTGTATTTCTTTAAACATACTGACTTTACACCCTATGGCTACTTATTACAGCATTTGCAATTCAGAGTCTGCATTTTTTTTTCTGTTGTCTCTTCCTTAGGGTGGGTGGCTTCCTGTGTGTTTAATTTTGTCCTGCATGCTCTTAATCATCTTTGGGAATTGTCTCTGGCTTGGGTTTGGGGTGTATTCTTCCTCCTAGGAGTTGTTTTTAAAACTCATACCACTGGAAACACTTGGAGAACCAATATACTTTAACTTCTTTGGAGCATCCATCATGACCATAAAGCCAACAAAACCAATCCTCCTCCTGCCCCTCCCATGCCCTCCCAAGCACTCCCCCCCCCCCAGCATGAATCTGGGTTCCCGTTCCAGAGTTGGGACAAACTGCTCACATTTCAGAGTATTTTAATTTTTTTTTTATTTGTGCATATGACTTTTTTTAGTCCCTGTGAATGGGGGCAGGAGTCCCTTTCATTTCCAGTGAGCTCATGGTTGGCTTTAGAAGATGCGGCTACACTTTAGGAAGGTGTGTTGTACAAAGGGCATCTTCCAGTGCCTCTCCTGCCACCTGACTGGAAGTAGAAACCTCGACATCTCTTCTTGCCTAGGTCTGCTCAAAGTCGATTTGGAGAATTTGCTCTGCTCTCCCACTTCCCTGAAGCTACTCACACAATTGTTCTCCCCTTTCTCCGCTACACAAACAGGCTGCTATTTAAAGCCAACACCTCCCAGGTGAAGGTTGTCGACATTTACATATAACGGGGACAAATAACTACAAAGAAAGAAAAAGGAAGGAAGAAAGAAAGAGCGAGCAGAATGTCCACCTCCAAGCATAGGCTTAGCCTGAAACTTGAGAGTTGCAAACACCATCCATTCTTGGCCTGAACCAACATGAGTTCTCACTTTTTTGTATTCAGTACATCTCATCTCGTTGACAAGAGAATGAATAGCAGGTTGTATTTGACATTCATAGCATGTGGCTTCGTGGAACCATGTGCTTAAATGCCTAGAGGCCTCATAAAATCAGGTGGCTTTCATTTATGCTAATTTATGATCATTGTAAGTATCATGACATGGAAATAACGCTAACATTGGCAAACAGCAGGCATTTCAACTGTAGCACATGTTCATTTTAATACATCGTCTTGGTGGGGAGCTTCTTTGGGGAGGGGGCTGAGTTTGAAGAGATAGTTAGAAATTCACCTTCCGCCATGTTCAGGTCAGCCGGTTTCTTGTAAGCTTTTGGTGTCCCCCAGTGATGACCCCTGCACCGGGGGCCACTTGGTGCCAACTCCATGAATCCCATTCACCACGTTATTAATAATTGAAGGAGCTTGTCATTTCCCGCTGGGTTTAGTGTGTAATTTATGGATTATGAGGCCATGCTAAAATCTCAGGGAGCGTTAATTTCATCAAAGGGGAAAGAGATACATTCCAGCTTCAGTTCTCACTCCCTAAAGTTACTGTCTGTACAGCAGATCGCATCTGGAAGTTTGGGGTATTGGTTGTATTGGCTTTTTGTCTTCATCCCAGAAGATGCCTTCGATCTTGTGGGGAAGGGGGTGCTATGGGGAAACATATCAACATCCTGTTTAAACTAGACTAGGACTCTGATGGGCAAGTGTCAGAGTTCTCTGAGCTTCTGTCTCTGTGTGTATTTGTGAGAGCCTGTGTCAGGCAGCGTCTTAGGTGCTTGTGGAATTGCGGGCAGCAGGAAGCTTGATGCTTTCTGTGGGACGGGAGATGCTGCACAATTTGGAGTCTGGGATCGTGGAATCCCTTTCCTTCCAGGGCAAGTTACCTTGGGTCTGCTGAGTTTGAAGCACCTCTCTGCAGCCTCTTATCTCCCTCTGTAAGAAAGGAAGAGCTCTCCCTTGGAAGGTCTTTTCCTCATGTGAGAGGGAGTTTAAAATGCTTTGATTTCTACCCAACCCTCCAACTTTGAGTTTTACAGAAATTCAAGCTTAAGGAAAAGAGTAGGTGAAAACACGATGAACCACCATTTACCTTTCACCTGGATTCACCAGGAATTAAACTTGTGTAACGTGGGCCATATTTCCTATTTGACTGGTCTCGTGATTTTTCTCTTGTCATGTGTTGAGCAGGCATTCTCTGCTAAACTGTACTAGCGATATAAACCAAATGTCCCAAATTATCAGAAACAATAAGGATTCAGAACTGAACTGATATGGTAAAAGCCAGCCATAGTGCAACTCACTCGTCCAAATGTAGTTGGGCCCACTAGGGAACTATATTATGCAATAGACTGTTTTTGTATTCCACTTTTTAGCTCCTCTCTACAACAAAGATTGGGAGAGCCATAATGCAAGTTTGCATCTGCTTTAATAAGGCCAAGCTATACAATTGGTTTCATTTATCACGTTTCAGATCTGGTAACACCTCCAAGTCAGCTTGGCCCAGCCATTTTCATGCACTCCACACATAGACAAGAAACAGGAAATCTGCAGAATTAGATGTTTAAGAGGCCAGTCCCCAAAGCTTGGGCTGTATCCCCAGGAAAGCCCTGAGGTATTCCCTTGGTAGGAACTCTTAATTTTTATTCTGGGCTTCCATAATCCTAGAAAAAGACCATGAGCATGTCCATAAGCACATCATTGTAGCAGAGAGCGAAGAAAACCCACCACGCACCACTAGAAACTTTCCTCTGCCTGCACCTATTGTTTAATTCTTACTTGGCCTCATAAGATCTAAAGAGAATGAGGCTCCAACAGCCTGCTCAGTCACTAATAACCACACCACCAAGGGATGAACACAGGTGTTTCGGGGGCGGGTGATACAAGTCTGGTATCACAAGAGTATAGGACACAAGCTGAGACTTGTGGAACCCATTAGGACTTCATTGTTGAGATGTGCGCAGCGTCATTGTTGGGGTTCATGCGGATGGTGTTGAAGAATCTGGTGGTTCTCACGCATTTTGCTGTGGGCATCCCAACAGGGTTTCATTCTACCAGCATGGCCTTGGCCTCACCTCCCCCTGCTACACCATTGACATTACAGGCGCTTTCCTTCTCTCCTTTACTTGCTTATCTGGATTGCAGCTGAGGTCTCCCTGAGCCTTCATGCTCCCAGGGGTGGTTGGGAGAGATGGGGAAGGGACTCTCCAAACTGTGTCCCGGGCTTATGGCCTTTTTTCTCAATGTCAAAGCTCCAGGATAGGTCTGATAAATGACGGTGACCCACAGTCACCTCCCAGATGGCAGACTGCATGCTGTCTACACCACATGTTCTCAACATAGCACCTCTACCCACCCACCAGGCCCGCTGGCACAGTGCTAGTCACTGAGATATAGTCGTGGCTGGGTCGTGTCTACCAGGCTGATAGGTGATGCTAATCAGTGATGCAGGCATTGAACAACTGAGCACGTGGCTCACAAGGATGGTGGGGATGTTCTCTGGAGGGAAGGGAAGAGTCTTGTATTTGGGATCCACATGGGGTCCCTGAGCTGACAGGAAACAGGACTGGCCTGGTATACAACCACATCTCCCCAGAACTTTTCCCTCACCTCCTCACCTTACTCCTCCCTCCTGCTGTGAGTAACCCTTCCTTTCCACCAGTATATCTCGCTCACCTGCTCTGGGTGTCTGCCATGTGCTGGGCACATTAGAAAGCCAGCTGCCAATCAGATGCAAGAACAGTGTGGCTTGGTTACCAGCCAAGTGCTGGTAGCTCACACAAGTGTAATCCTACCTACTTAGGAGACCATGATCTGAGTATCATGGTTCAAAGTCAGCCCAGCCAGTAAACTCTAACAAAAAGCCAAAAGTGGGGGGGTGGCTCAAGTGGTAGAACACCAGCAGACTTGAGCCTGAAAAGGCTCAAGAGACAGCACTCGAGCCTTGAATTCAAGCCCCAGTACTGGTGCACGCGCACACATGCATACACACACACACACATCAAACTACTGGACCCCTGGCCCCAGGTCTTCAGATGGCTAGGTCAGTCCTGCACAGAGCTGCCTGGAAGTCTAATCTGTGTCCCCTCTGCCCCGTGTCCTCGCCCTGCAGGAACGGCCTCACCGGCTGCCGCATGCGGACTGAGAGCGAGCCGTCCTGTGGCTCCCCGGTGGTCAGCGGAGACCCCAAGGAGGACCACAACTATAGCAGTGCCAAGTCCTCCGATGCCAGGAGCACCTCACCTGCCAGTGACTCCATCTCCTCCTCCTCCACCTCCTCCTCCTCTTCCACCTCCTCCTCCTCTTCCTCCTCCTCCTCTTCAGCTGACGATCACTACGAGTTTGCCACAAAGGGGAGCCAGGAGGGCAGTGAGGGCAGCGAGGGGGGCTTCCCGAGCCCTGGGAGCCACAGTGAAGCGGAGGAGGACGACAGGAAGGCCAGCCCGAAGGACGCCAAGGACGCCCTGGGGGACAGCGGCTATGCATCCCAGCCCAAGAAGCGCCAGCACTTCGTCAAGGCCCGGAGGGTCCCCAGCGACTCGCTGCCCCTCAAAAAGAGACGCACAGAAAAGCCCCCCGAGAGCGACGACGAGGAGATGAAGGAGGCGGCTGGGTCGCTCCTGCACCTGGCCGGCATCCGCTCCTGCTTGAACAACATTACCAATCGGACGGCAAAGGGGCAGAAAGAGCAAAAGGAAACCACAAAAAATTGAAAACAAGTCACTGATTTGTTTTGAACTTAATGGCCATTTGGTTTTCAGCATGTCAGGAGATATTCTAATGATTTGTGGCAATATCAGCAATTTTGTTTCCTTTTTTTCTCTCTCTCTTTTATTTTTCCTTTTGGTTTTCTTTTTTTTTCCCTCTTAATTATTGTTATTATTTTGTTTGTTTCATTTGCCCCTCCTTCTGTCTTCTTTTGTTTTAGACCCTTAAGAATTTTATTTTTAAAGGAGATTGAAGCCATAGAACTCATTGACACTCAGCTGTTTTACAAAAGCTTTTCATTATCCGAAGATAAAAAAAAAAAAACCAACCACCACCACGACAGCAACAAAAAAAAGTACTCAAAAGCCAAATTACCATTGCTTCCTGAAGCCTGTCAGAAAAGATGGGGCCAGATCTACAGGGTTATCACCATTAAATGTCCCCAGGGACAGACATAAGGGCATTCGTGCCACTAATGACCAGTCACTCAGGCCCAACCCTTAGGTTTAAAAAGTCGAGTGTCCCTCTGGTTGCATGAAGGCTCATAGAGCAATTGGAGACAAAGAAGCACCCCAGCCCCCCTGCTAGAGCAAACCCTGGCATCCCCCTGTGCCAGGAATGCCCTGCCCTGGGCATGGCCATGTACGGCACCGGGGTGGGCCGTCACTCCTCCATGCTTCTTGACCTTGAACCCGGTAATGTCTCAGAAGATGAACATTCATTGGGCTGTCTTAACACATCAGGTGTCAGTCACTTAAGGAAGAGTAATGGGGTACACATTTAGAGCTACTACTGCTAGTCTTTGAATTCTGTTGTCTATTAAGAAAATGTTCCAAAAGCCATAAACCTGAAGGTTGGCCCTGAAGGCACACTCACGCACACAAACCCAAGAACTAGACTGAGAAAAGCAGATGCTGAAAAGCAAGCCCTGTCTTCTCAACTGCCTAAATAAAAAGCAATCAAGCCCAAGGAGTGACAGTAGCTGTTAGGGAAGAAAATAATGGTACAGATTATGTTTCTATCAAAATTTGTTTGATCCAAATGAACAACAACAACAAATTGCTCCAGAGACTGCCATTAGTTTTGTGTATTTTTAAAAGATTAAAGGCATCTTGATGGGCCTCCCCCTCCAAAATAAAAAAGTCAAATAATAAACTCCTCAGAAAGGAGTTTGCAATTAATGTCAGGACTCAGCTTTGCAAAAATCAGTGATTTTCACATTTACCCGGTGTAGCCAACAGAAATTTCTGATCCACAATGCATGGGTTCCTTTGAAGAAGAAAAAAAAAAAAAGAAAAAGAAGAAAAAAAATCACAAAAACAAACTTTTTTTTTCTAATTCAAAAAATAACAAAGTTCTTGTAAGGTAAATAATGTATTTAGCATGAAGCATGAATTATTTTCATATAAATATAGAACATAGAGAAAAGGCTATGCCTCTAATTTTTAAGCCCTTAGGCTTAGAGATTCTTTTGTTTTTCTTTCTCATTAGTTTACTTTCTTTTTTTCCTTCTATTTTCTTTTTTTTTTATTTTTATTTTTTTTCCCAGGTTATTTTGTTTGGGTTTTTTGAAGCAGGTGTTTAAGGTTTAACCTTCTTCAGGGACAAATTCTGACTGTTGGGGAATTTACTCTGCAATATAAAAATATCTTCATGCTCTGGTAGGGCTTGGATGGTTGAACTCTACACTGCCTTGTCTGCACTCAGCCCCTCCCCTCTCTGATTCTCTATTGAAGAGTGTGTCCTTCCTCTATGTCTGTATGTGTTTAACATGCCGCAATAATTTGAGGGTAAACTTAGTAGTGAGTGTGTGTGATAGAATCAGGAGAATTATGGGACGCTTACTTGAGAAAAATCATTGCCATGATTTGGTTCTAGGAAAAAAAAAAAAGGCAGTGACTAATTATGCAAATTCACCAGGAGAAGGGGGAACATGCTAATGGGCCTTATTGGGGAGGGTTGGAGATAGGGTACACAGGAAGGAGGGAGTGGTCCAGGGGTTAGGAGGGCCAGCCCAGCAGTTCTACTGCGACAGTGCCATTTCGCAATAAGCAGGGCCAGGCCATCTCTACCACTAACCTCAGTACACTCACCAACATGAAATCACAACCACCTAGACCGTAGAACTGAACTGAAATCACACCACGTCACAGATCAGAAACTGTTATCTTTGCCTAAAAAGAAAACAAACTTTTTAGACTTTTACGGTTTTTTCTTTTCAGTTTGGGTGTTTTTTTTTTGTTTGTTTTTGTTTTCCTGAACTCCAATGAGAAATTTGTGAAAAGAATAGGATCTTCCCTCCAGATGGAAGTTTTAAAACGCGTAAATATCCACTACTGTGGCTCGGCATCTGGTTGTCAGGGAGAGGGAGGGAAAGGCACCGGGCAGGAACAGGACTGGAAAGCCAGGCCCACCTGTCAGGGCCAGGAACTTGTCAGGATAGTGGGAACTCTCTGCTGCAGTCCCCCTGGACCTGTCTTTTGGGGGACTGCTGAGGAGGGAACCTAGAAGAAACCTGGGCCTGATATACACAGCTGATTTCCCACCTACACCTGAGCGGAAATCTGAACTCTGCCAGTGTGTATGCTCAGGGTGTGAATAAGGATGTAGATCAACTTCCGACAGGGTCCCCAGCCTTTGTTCTCCCCAAACATCTGACACCCTAAAAGCCATCCACCACTGTGGAACCTGAGCCACACTTTAATTTTTGTTGTTACCCCATCCAGTTCAAAAGATACTCCTCTCCAAGGCCCCCTTCCCTGCCCCCCCCCCAAGATGGTGAAATTCAGATTTCTTTCCTGAAAGGCAGAGGTGCAGTCTGCACTCTTTTCTGACAGGCCACTTCTTCCAGTGAGCCCCCACCCCCCAAGTGGGCTGTCTCCCTCATTTCAGTTTTCTAAAAGGGGTGGAGTTCTCTTTTTAGAAAGTAATAAAATGCAATGTGTGTGATTTACTTTTCTGATCTCTTTGGGAAATAGATAAATATCTTATTTTTTAAGAAAAAAAAAGGTGTGTTCTTCACTTCAGAACCACTCTCTTTTGCATAAATACCTCATCGGGCAGCTTTCTAAGTGTTATTTTTCCTGAGCCTCCCTTGGCAATGTCATGGAATCTTCTGGAAGATTTGTTAGGGAAACTTTACTGAGGGTACTTTTTTTTTTCTATTTTCCTTCTGTTTTTGGAGGCATACACATTATGCATAACCAAAACAATGGCTCAAATTGTGTTTTAACTTGGTGTTTTGATTGTTAAACATACACCCACAGAGTATCCATGTGTATGTGGCTGTTTGTAGCAAATTTATTACAGAATGAGGTTGTCTTGGTCCCTTAATAAGCCAGGGTCAGATGACAACCTCTCTCTTAACCCTCCAAGAGCAGTAGAGAATTTAAGCACAAAACTCTTTGTGAAAGAATATTTTGCTTAAGTGTAATTCACTTTAGTTTTGGAATTCCTTCCCAAACTAGCCTGTGTATCCATTAGTCTGCCGATCACCTGATCACCATTAAAGGAGTAGAGGTGTCTTCATTTCTCCGACCAGGGGAAATGGCATTCATGTGTCATTCCAGTAAGCTTACATACTCATAGGGCAGGGGGGAGGGGCAGCGGGGAACTATAGCAATATTTAAAGATGCTTTGAAAACCGTGAACACATCAGCACCATGATTTACAATGACTTGCTATTGGGCCGTTGGACACATTTAAGAGAAAGAGTGTAGCTCTTTGTTTTGTTTTCCTTAAATGCTACACACATAGATAGTTGTGTTTAATCCTACTCGAATAATTGTCTTTTTAGTCCTATGTGGAAAGTATTTGCATCATAGATTCCCTCCACCCCCAGCCTTATAATCTACCACAAGCTCCTACGTCCCTCCCCTCTGTCGTTAGAATACGATCTGCAACTAAAAATGTACCAAACCCACATGTAGATAGTGGTTTGAGAAAACCCCGTGGCCAGACAGCTGTGTCAGGCTTCACTTTTGGAGTTGGGTATTGCCAGGCAATGCATCGGAGACTTGGTTTGTTTTTTGTTTTTTTTCAAGAATGGATTTTTTTCTTTTTCTTCATGGACTCATTCAGCTCAGTATGTCCAGTGCCTGCTGGTCACAGCTCTCTTCCCATAGAACATTCCAGAAGAGGCCATGGGATTGAAAAGGCAAGAGGAGGCACTGGAGAGTGGAGACGACAAAGATGGCTTTTGTACCTAGTGCACCATCTAACAACCAGGCCTGCTCAGCACCCCCTGCTGATATGGGGGTCCCGTGGAGCCTCTTGAGAGAAGGGCTCTTTGAGAAAGAATCAGAGTTAGATAGAAGTCGACCTGCCTGGGAGAGGTTTTCTATTTGAGATTGACTTAAATTCAGTGTGATTTCTCTTTTCCTTTCAATTTTATTCAGGTTGGGACTTGTTTCTTTCTAGTGGATCACAGCTGCCCAGATGTTGAAATTGACTTTTTTCCCATTTTTACATTTCTGCAAAGAAGTATTTGTTTTTCTTTCACGTACAGGATTTTTTTTTTGCCACCTAAAAAAACATTGAAACTCTATGTCCCCTCCCCCCTTGATTGTAAGTTCCCAGTGTTGACAGTTTAATCCTTAGTGTTGTAGGTCCTAGTCCACCGATACTATATCTCAAACACTGTTATGCACATAATGCAGCACTGTGATCTAATTTAAATAATACTTTTTTATTATTTATACTACTATATATAATATACATCAACACTTTTGCTATATAACCTAAGTGATTAAAAAAGAAAAAAAAAACACCCTTTTAGTTACCTGCCAAACTCTGAACTTGGGTTTCTATTTGTAGTTACACAGTTACAAAGTTGTAATGGTGTCTTTTTTCTCTCTCTCTTTTCCTTTGTAATGGAATGTGTAAATCAAAAGTATATACATTGTGTGGTGTTCCTTGGAATTTGATGAGGATGTACACACAGCATTCAGTGTTCTGTATAGACCTGCATACCTTTGTGAACCCTTTGAGAGAGCTCCAGCCAGCCATGGTGGCTAACTTATTGTCTTCTTTCCTGCTCGTTATTCTTGAATTAAGCACAGACTCAGTTGCTTTATCATGAATAAAATAGGTGTGACCTTGTCACGCTTCAACAGTTCAGCAAATAAGTGCTAGCTTCAGT